AAAATTAAAGATATTTTAAGAATGAATCAATGCGTGTATAAGCTTCATTTTCTAAGATTTGCTTAACTTATGTGCCTATTGATTCCTCCACGCTCCTATACCAGAAATTTTCAAGCCAAAAAACCTCTGCTTACCTAGGCTAAAAATATGAAGCAAACTACTTCCTTTATTAAAAAATATCTTATATTTTTTTAAGTCTTTTAAGAGATTAAATGTTAAAAAATATAAAGTATTTTAAGTCTTTTAAGGTGTAATTATTATCTTTTTTTAAGTGCTACTATTGAATAGATTACTTTATATTTTTTTAAGGTGAAACACTTTATTAAATAGAGATAAATATGAAAAAATAAGATTAGTTTAAATACAAATAACTACTTTATTAGGGATAAAATTTGATTAAAAATGTCTTATATTTTTGAATAAAAGAGTATATACATAATCATTTTGCTACCCATACCTGATTCATGCCTTTCATTTTCCTCCATGTATATATCTTAGCCAACAATAGTAATCCATTTCTATCATTAGTACAGTCTCCCGAGCTGCCAAAATATTAGAATGCAAAAAGGATTGACAAAAAAAAAAAAGTTAGTTATTGACAATACATTGATTTTGCTTGACCTCCTGCTTTCAAAGTAAAAAGAAATTGCCAAAGAGAAGAAATACAATGAAAACAAGTAACAATGGAAGAATTTCACCAACTTTTAGAGATATATCATGAGTATCGAAGTCAACATTGCCTCCTATGAAGAACACTAACACTAATAGTAACACTTCGATCAAGGCTATTGATGAGGCAATGGTGATGGTATAACCCGACTTCAACGAAGAAGAAAGACCAAAAGTGATGAGGCCATCGGGGGCACTAGGTATAATTTAGTGGAGGCAAATGCATCCCTAAATTTGGAGAAAATTGCAACAAAAGGGTTATACATTTAACTATTTTGTACCTCTTGGTTCAATTATTTTATACCCCTTAGCTCAATTTTAAAAATATTTGAGTTCTAAAAAAATTTAAAATATGTTCAGGTGAATCCCAAAAAATATTGCACTCCTTAATCTAGGGTCTTGGCACCACCACAGGCAACAAGTCTCTGGCTAGATTGATGTGCATGGTGAAAAATTTAGAAGAGGAATTTGGATTTCAAAAACAACAATTAACCCACCTATTGAGAATGTTGAGAAAAACCATAATGTGCGAGAGAGTGCTTTATGATAGTCACTCAAAGCATTCACAAAAATCTCAACCTGCAGGATAGAAATTAGAATTATGAATAAGTTTATGAGGTTAGAATAATAAAAGGACATTTGTGAGTGGAGTAATTTTATATTTAAAATATGTAAGCATAACAAGTGACATCATCAACTTTTATTTATGATAATGAGAGGGATAGAAGAAGAGAATATTAGATACAAGAAAAATACTTAAGCAAATCGAGTGTGCATAAATTAAAATAAAGGAGAGAGGAATAAGAGATAAGAGAAAGTGATTTCAATTAAATTAAAAAATATTATAGTTATTATCTTTTAAAACTATTTTTATAAATAATTAAAGAGTTAATGGTGATATATATGGGGAATGTAGGATAATGGAGAGACAGGAGGTAGTTTTATTTATTTTTAAAATAAACAATGAAATATAAACATATAAAGGACATGTGTCATGAAATATGTGGGAGGTAGCTTTATTTAATTTTTAAATAAACAATAACACATAAAAACATAAAGGACACATGGCATTACTAGACATAAGCTTGCGGTTCTGCTTATATACATATATATATATATATATATATATATATATATATATTACTTTTTATTTTTTACTTATTATTTTTAAAATAAAAAATGACAATAAAGTCCCAAAACTTATAATTTATGACAGTTAAGTTTTTAATAATTTTTTTAAAAAATAAATTATAAATATTAATTCAAATAGTTACAAACAAAAACTACAACTATAAATTAAGAATTATATTTAAAATTTAAACATTTTATTTATAGTCAGAACTATTAAATTTATGACTATATGAATGAATATTTAAAAATTATTTCGTAGAAAATTTTGCTAGTGACCTAATTGTTGTAAGTTCATTGTTTTGGGACTTTAATGTTATAAAAATACATGCTATAATGATAATATAAAAATATGGGTCAATCAACTTAGTTAAATTATTAAATCAATATTTTCATCGATTAAATAAATAACTAATTTATGACAAGTTTATTACGAATTGATTACAATTTTAATTATTAATTATTGAACTAATACCTTAATTGATTCAATAATTAATTCAGTTTTCAATACCTTACTGATAATATAGTTATTACAAGAAAAAACGGTTATCAAGTTAGTTATTATGCCTGATATAGTTACTAACTATGGTTTAGTTAACAATGTCTTCAGATTTTCGACTCAAAGATTTTAGTGATTCAGATTGGGCCACTTATCTTGAAACTCACAGGTCAATGACTAGTTTTTGTGTCTTTTTAGATCAATCTTTGATTTCTTGGAAATCCAAGAAACAAAGTACTGTTTCCAGATCATTTTCAGAGGCTGAATACAGAGCTTTGGCCTCCGCAACTTGTGAAATTCAATGGCTGCTCTATCTTCTTGCAGATCTTCATGTTGCGCATCCTCATGTGGCTCTTCTTTATTGTGATAATCAATCTGCCTTGCATATTGCAGCCAATCCAACCTTTCATGAATGCACCAAACATATTGCAATCGACTGTCACATTGTTCGTGAGAAAATTCAGGCTAAAATTCTTCACTTACTTCCCATTCGAACTTGGAATCAACTAGCAGATGTTTAACTTAAGTTTTACACCCTTCTTTTTTGTACTGCAATTTCCAAAGTTTTACACCCTTCTTTTTTGTACTGCAATTTCCAAGTTGGGTTTGCATGATATCTATGCACCAGCTTGTGGGGAAAACAGACATTATTAACTAAACCATTGTTAGTTTTACTTAACTAGCCTTAGTTAGTTTAACTCATTTAGTTATTCGTTTGTTCTTATCCCATATATATGTACAGCCAGATTCATTAATAAAGATAACTTTCCTTTCTTCATTTTATCTTTCCATACTTCCCATTATAAATAGTAACAATATGTACTCTTTGGATGTCAGGTTCCATTGACGCACAAGAGTATTCTTTTTAAATGAAATATAATCTTTCACTCAAAAAAGAAGGGTATTCTTACCCTAATTCAAGCCAACCTGAACCTACATAAAAAAAGTTAGGATCGAGCTGGGTTATATGGATTTTTTTAAAAGGGTAGGGTACTTAAGCCTGACTTCTAGAATTTTTAGCTCTGTACGTATATAGAGTTGATAATTTTAGCCAAGTCTAATAGGTAACTCGAACTTAGTTGAAAAAGTTAGAGTCAGGCTTGGTTATATGGACTTTTTAGATACTTCAAACCCGATCTAAATAAACCTGACTGAATTGAGCCCAACCCAAATAAACTTGAATTACTGGCTCTACTTCTAATGGAGGAGATCGTGGGAGGGAAAAAAGACAACAGGAATATTAACATTTACATAATGTATAAACAATATACTCTGCAAGTATGCATAAATTATAAATATGGTTGTTGTTTTATTCAAAAGGATATATAGATGAGTTTGTACTTTGTACCACTGTTTTAAGACTCGGATGGTTGGACCGGTTGAGCTGTCACTTGGAGAAGAAAACGGTTTGGTTCAATCATTTAGCCCATTTTGGTAGTTGAACTGGGTTGGCTTGCTTTGACCAGAGCGATTCTTGAAGACTTTGAGCAAAAACCCAGAACTTGAAGTGGTTGAACCGTTTTGACCCATATAAATATTATTTTTTATTTAATTATTATATCACTGATTCAATCATTGGTCTAATTGATTGAGTCATAAGACTCATGACCCATTGATCTTTCCAGTTCATTGTTCGATCCGGTTTTTAAAATATTATTTTGTACCCTCTATAGTTTAAAACTTATATTTTATCCCATTTAAGTAATTTTAATATATGCAATTTCTTGTCATTGAATCTTTATCTTGTGGACACTCGATAGTTAAGATTCTAACTATTGGGTGCATCGACAACTAATGCCCTTAAATCTCTCTCTCTCTCTCTCTCTCACAGAAAGGATCACTATTTGTTTTTCCTCGTTCCATCGTCAGCTTATGGGAGCAAAGAAACAAGTCGCTCCGAGTTTACATGCACCAATTCATCCCCTCGAGGAATAATACAAGTAAGAAGACGAAGAATAGATTGATCAATTTTCTCACAATATTATTATGAGGGATGGGAAAATGTCTGGTAATCTAGTTTCCAAATGCAGTAGGAAACTGAGTTGAACTAAGCATCCTTGTTGAATCATACATTCCCCCTAGCCCTATTTATCAAACACTTTCTATAAGTAATTTTTAATTTAAAATATAAGATATTTTGTAATAATTAAATAAAAAAATTACAGCCAATCCTTTTTCAAAAAAATTAATCACAGACAAGGATCAACAATAAGTCTCATTTGAAAAAAAAAAAAAGTCATGTTCTATTTTAACAACAATCTATTTCGAATTGGTTCTTATCCGTGATAAATTTTTTTAAGAAGGGATTGGCTGTAACTCTCCCTAATTAAATTATTTTTTAGTTTTATTTTTTAACTAGTATTTAATGTAATTATATTATTATTTAAAATGAAAATACATCTTTGATATGAAAAAAAAAAAAAAACTTTTGCGTTGAACGATTGAAAACGTCCTAGAACAAAGATCGAGGGAGCATAGCAAAATTGTACAAGCTCGTCCAAAATCCAGTGTGGTGATTGACAAGTAACCCGCCGACTACTCTAGAGTCTTGACACGTTACGTAAAACCTCAAGAAGAAACATACCAGCATACACAAGTGACATAACCAAGGCACGTTCCCTGAAAAAGCATATTTTCTCGTCACACAAGAATTTTAGTGCTCCTCGTCCAGGATTTCTCGTTTAGAAACCATCGCTCTCTCGTTCCTCAGGTCTTTTTGTGTGCTTTCCTTAATACCTTGTAGTTTGTTCCACCCACAATTCCTGCGAGCTCCATGGCGCATCACAGGATGCATTCTGCGAGGTTTCGAGAAGAAATCCCACTGCCTTCGAGAATCAAACATCACGGGATTAAAAATGGCACTCTAAGTAGTAGCAGAAAGCAGGATCAAACATTTGAAGAAGAGCATACAAGTCCTTCAATCGGAAAAATCAACGAAATGGTAGCTGAGGCAGAATTTTCTAAGAATTCCCGAAGGCATAGTTCATTAACAACAAGTTCTACAGGGTCGATTCAATCCGCTGCTATTTTCTTATCAAATCGAATCGACAAGAGTGTCCGAAGCATAATGTCATCGTCATCATCATTAACTGCAGTTTCCAGCTCTCCTGGCAGGAGCAGGGAGGATACTGGGGGGAAAATTACAGAGAAGAGGAAGAAGAAGAAAGGAGCGTTGTTTGCTTGTATGGGACAAGATTCATGCAAGAACTCAAGAAAATCACCAGAACGTCCGAGTGTTGATGAAGCGTTTTTCATCGAGAGAGCGTTCGTGGTGGAGAGCTTGCCACAATTCTGGGCAGACAAGTACCAGCCTACTTCACTGAGCGGCTTCCTTTGCCACCAACAAGAAGTTCAACTTCTCCAGGAACTAGTAAGCTTTAAATACACTTCCAATTCAAATTCCTTCTTGTTCTTTTTTTAATATTTTCAACAAAATTTCTATTTTAGACGAGATTTATTTAGGGTGTGTTTGGAACCAGTGGTTCAAATGCCATCCCAGACACGCTATTAGTACCTACTTTTACCAAGCATATGTATAAATTGTTTCAAAAAAATAAAGGAAAAATCGAGTTTTGTTATAATTTTGTTTTAATATTTTAGTTTCTTATACTTTTGTTTTTCAGTGTTTTAAATCCTCATAATACCATTCATGAAGGGACCTATGTAGTGATCTAGACAATTGAAAAAAAGTGCAGGATCTGTGGCAAAACTTGAGTAAAGTACAGGGTCCAAAATTATGTTTTTAATATATATATATATATATATAATTTCAGCAATATTTCTAAGAAGTTGGATTACACTTGTTTCAAAATATTTTCCATATGGTTTGCTAGAACTTCTAATTGAACTGATTTTCACTCAGGTGTTTCTTGACGAACTTCCACACACTTTGCTAAAAGGTCCCTCTGGTTCAGGGAAAAGAGCCTTAGCAATGGCTCTTCTGCGAGAAATATACGGCGAAGAGTGTTGGAAGGTTTGTATCTTGGCTTGACCTCCTCTCTTGTATATATCTTCCTGATTCTTAAGCTCACCTTACTAAACACCTTTTGGTGCAGTTATCCCACAATTTAAGATATTTCAACTTTCAGGTACAGATTCCCCATGTTCTATTCATTCTAACCGTAGTTAAAAATTTAAAATCACTTCTGAATCTCATGGTTACTAATCGTTTGGGGTAAAAATGACAGGAAGGCAGGCCCATGAAATTAAGTGTTCCAATAACGTGCAGCTGTCATCACGTGGAACTAAACGTAAATTTGGAACAGAATGCTAAGTATGCTTTGATGGGTTTAGTAAAGGAAATGAACTGCATCTATGCAATAACACCCGAAAATGCCAACTCTAATATCAAGTCTGATTGTCAAGGTTAGTTCAAAACATGTACTATATAAGCATAGAGATGCACTCTACTTGATAATTGTATGTGAGGCTAATAAGTAGCCTACTCTAATTCCCGTGCTCAGTGATAGTTCTCTATGGGGTTGACAAGGCAGAACAGGATATCCAGCAGATAATCAAATGGATTGTAGACTGTCACTCCCAAATGTGCAAACTGGTACTCTGCTGCCAAGATGATATTGACATTCCTGAATCTGTGAGGAACCTGTTCAAAGTGATTGAAGTTCATCCACCTAGCACCCTCCAAGTATGAATACTTTTTTTTTTTTTTTTTTGCTTTTTGTTTGGCTTAAGTATTTGAAGGTTGGATTATGGAGTGCACCTTAGAAAGGGACAAAATTTGTGTTGTAAACACTGATGTGGAACCCCAAAATCCCAGATTATGGAGGTTCTGTTTCACATAGCAAAGAAGGAGGGCATTCATCTATCCAAGAATTTTGCTGCTATGATTGCTGCAAAATCTAATCAGAATCTCAGACAAGCTATCATGGCTCTTGAGGCATGCAAAGTTTTCAAGTAAGATGCTGAAATGATGAAACCGCACAATCCCTCAAATTGTATTACCACGTTTGAACCTCGAAAGATTTTTTTTTCCCCAACTTCTGTGTTACTGCATTAGAGTGAGAAAATATAACGTATAGATGGATAAATTTTCTTACCCTCGTTTGGATTATCAGTTTTCCTGTTCTACATCATCAGTCAAGGAAGCCTGTCCTTTTCCACGCAGATATCCTTTTTTGGAAGAACAACCAATTTCAATTGGATGGGAGGTTATTGTAATAGGAATTGCTTCAGAGATCTTATCTGATCCATCAAACTCATGGTACAAAAATTTCAAAATGAAAAGGAGAATTTCTAGCCATCTCTTGCAGCTCCACGTGTGGAGCAAAACTGTAATGGATCAGATAATGGTTTTATTTATTTATTTATTCTTTTGTTGTTTGATCAGCCTAATCTCAGTAAGAGAAAAATTTCAGAAGCTGATCGAGGATTTTGTCCACCCAAAACTAATTCTCCGGGTGATGACTCATTTATCTCATGTCTAAATAAGCCTTTACCAAAACATTATTTCCATTTTGTAATAGATTGTGTTATGACACATGCAGAAAATAGTGGAAGAACTTCTGAAAAAAATCGAAGCCAGATTAAAAAGGGAACTCTACTACTGGCATGCTTATTATGTGACTTTCTTCTTCCTCATCAAATTTTCTGCAATATGATGCCAAATTAGTTCGAATCTCACATGGATATGATACTGAATTAGTAATACCAAGTTGCATGCTTTCACTTTACAGGACAAAAGACTCCCACCTGGAACTGTAGCTGCAACCAAGTTAACTGGTAAAGACATCCAAGACTTTCTAATCTCTGTCAAAAATCTAACATGAATGGCACCAGAATTGCTCATTTTTGCATATAACAAATAAATGCAAAGACTTACTGATTTAGTAAATAAGACTGATACGCAATTGTCTGCAGAATTTGTGGCCAAGTTTATGGGCATATACAAAAAGAGCTTTATCAGCAGGCAATATGTGTGAGTAAAAATGGACTTCCCTTCTCATCTTAATCTGCTAAATCAAAGGAGATTGGAAATTTCAGCTTGACACAGATGCAGAATCCAAGATTCTCAATGGGATAATCAACTGAGGACAATTTCCTATGATAGAAAAGTAGTATTATTGTGAAGACAAGGGCATAAAATTGTGTTCCCTTTGCTCAACACTAGAATTGATTCAACCCGAAGGGAGTTTTGCATATTATGTTTTGAAAAATAGTCATGAAGAGATTTACATTTGAAAAAGAATACAATTTTTTTTTAATAAATTAGAAACGTATATGTACAATTCAGATCAGAATACAGACTACGAAACTTCAAAGTTTACACTAGTACTTGTCTCTTAAAGTTTTCCTTTTCTTCTTTTCTTAGTGTTGGTCTGTATTTCTGAATCTTGTAATCATGAGAGGAGGTGCTACCTCTTGCACCTGTCGTCCTATTACCATGCCTCGGCTCTGCCAGTACAAAAGAGAAAGATCTTATAAGTTAAAATCGCGAAATAAATAAAAAAATCAATATTACAAAAAGATAAACCCAGAGAGAAAAAGAGAAAGAGCACACGTTCCCGATATCAAAAGCAAAAGAAACATACCAAATCGTGTGTACAATCGATGAGAATGAACAGTATAATCTAATAGCAGAAAAATATTGGTCAAGCAATCATGATAACAATAAGATGAATGTAAATTGTTAATTGTTTTAGTTGTGTTAACAGACTAATTAAGAAACTCCAAGGCTTTGATTTTCTTGGATGAGTATTTGAGCCAGTGTAATTAATTATTTACCTGGTCGTCCAATTAGCTTACAGAAACAAGTTCTCCAACGGGTGCATTACGCCAAAGCCAGTTGCATTTCTTTCCATAGTAACTATTTCTATTTGCTTTCTTTGCTCCTTGTTCTCAAACAAGGCTTTAAAAGGACACAAAATTGTAATTTAATAATAAAAAATCTTAAAGATTATGAATTTTTACTTTTATATTTTACTAAATGCATCATATGCTTGAATTTATGAGTTCTATTTTTTCCATAAAAAAAAGGAATTTCTAGAAGGCTTATTCTCCCTTTATATTATAGTTGTAGGATGTAACATTCAAGATTTTCAATCTGGAATTAATTAAAATAAATTAGGATAAATTAATAAATTAAAGAAATAATTGAGCTTATTGAGTTTTTGGGTTACTAATAAGTTTATTGGACTAATGGGTAGTTTTGGAGATAGGTTAGGATAGAATGTGGGTCAGTCAGATCTAAAACTCTAGACTTAACCTTTATGCCATCTATCATAGCAGATATGAATGTGCCCCAATGGATGGATTTGATTTTGGTTAAATTGGGTGCATAAGAGATAGAAAAATAAAAGAGGAAGAAAGGAGAATAGAGATAGCTAGACTTAGCTCTATTAGGGCTTTAGTTTCACACTATTTTAGGAGTATTTTAAGTTTGGTTTGAGCTAGATAAGCATGCTACACCTTTCCTCTACTTCTATATGCAAATTTATGTGGGTGTGGGGTGTTGTTGGATGAAGATTTTGTTGTGGATGCATTTGGGCAAATCCCTTAACTTAGATGGAGCCATTAGGAGTGAATTTAAGCTTCTATACCAAGAGTTGGAGAGTTTATGGTATTTTAATGTTGGGCTCTAGGGTTTAGATAAACCCAATCCTTAAATTTGCATGTTGGGAGTAATTTAGGCCTTAAATTGGTGTTGTTTAAATTTATGAAAGCTAAATGAAGTTAAAGGAACATTGTTAGCATGCTAGTTTAGCCAATGATAAAGATAGAGGTTGTAGGTAGCTTAATTGAGCTAGATAGTGCTTACGTTGCAGCTATAATGATTGATTAGTATTTAATTATGTAGATTATAGTTGTTAGGAACTTGCTTAAGCTTGAGGAAGCTTGAGAAGTGTTGTAATACTACAAGTAACCTTTTTTGATAATAAAATGGTTGAGATAACTGAATAATTTATCTTACTTATTAACTTGTTAGACCTTATATGAGTTTTAAAAAAACGTGTAATTATGAAATTATATGTAAATATATGTATGTACAAGCATGCAGGTGTATGAGTTGGTTTTAGAATTCATATAAAGTGGGAAAACTATTTTGAAATTGTAATATCCTAATTTTTAATTCCTTGATTTATTAAGCTTAATTAGGATGATTAAGTAAGTTAAGGTGGTGTATGTCCAGGAAGATCTAATAATCATATTCGATTGTATTTTAGCCTTAATTGTAGATCCAATATCAAGCTGGGCCACCTAGGCATTAAAAGGAGAAGAAAATGAAGGATTAATGTTGTTGTGCCATATGCCACGATGTGGAGAACATCCACTGCAACACACAAACACTTCAGATGCAGAATAAGGACTTTTCTATGACACATACAGCAGTGCATTGTTTGTTAGTCATGGCACATGGTCATTTTTTGTAATTTATCAATCGTGAAACTAAGACAGAATTGGAAAGGAGAGAAAGGAGAAAACGAAGAGGTATGCCAAGCTCTATTAAAGTTTGTTCATGGATGACATTGGGAGTGTTTTGAAAGTTACAAACAACCAAGGTAAGTATTATACCTTTTAATCTCCCATCTCCTTCCATATTTATGAGTTTATTATCAGGGTTTAATAGTGGAAGATGATTTTTGGTCCATATAGGTTATGGGTCCCAATCTATTGATTTAAATGAAATCAATAGGAAGAGACTGAAGTATCTAAACCTAGGTATAATAGATTTTGGTGTCTTGAATTGTTAGACATCATAAATATCCAAAAAATTCATTAATGTGGGTTGTTGGAGGAGTATGATGCCATTAATAAGAGTTTAATGACTCATAAATGTTAATGGGGACTAAATATAGTTAATAAATCCAATAGATAAGCTCAAACTCATACAAGGTGGGCATTGTGCAATTTAAAAGTGGAGAAATGTGAGTTACATGTTTGAGTTTGACAAGTAGATTGAACTCTTGAACACCTATTTTGGTTTGGGAATTCAAGCTTGGAAGATATTATATTGAGGGGTAAACATTTGACCTCTCAAAGGTTTGAGATAATTGGGAGAATCTTATTTTGGATAGTTATTTACTAATTGTAATATGAAGTGAATTGTGTGTTAAACATGTAAATTTTGACTTGTGAATGAATATATCATGCAATGAAACCTCATATTTATCTAAACACTTTGATATACATTAAACATGCCAAAGAGATTACTAAATGAGTTTCAAGTTGTAAAAGTGATATTCGAGAGTAAATTTCATGTTTATAATGTGTTTGAATGAGTAATGAATAATGGTCTTGATAAAGATAAGTAATTGAGATTAAAAATGTTGTGTTTATGTGCTATAAGAGAAATGAAACTTGATGCTCATTTGGGTAGCGCACGATCATGATCCCAACGTGATTATTGTGATAACGAAGAAATGAAAATGTGTAAATGAGTGAGCATCGTATATGGTATGATCAGTGGGTGGGAGTTCGCCTAGGAGTTAGGAGTAGAAAAAAAAAATTCATATGATATTTAGGCTCCTCTCCGGTGCACGAGAGTATAGCTTTATCCTACAATTTGTTGAGGAACTAAATAATGGTTTGTCGAGGGACTAGAACTTAGATTTCTCCATGTAACCCTTCCCCGTATTCACTCAATACAAGAGAAGATTAATAGAATTACCACATCACAAATTACCACAGTAATCAAATATGTTATTTGAAAAGCTTTGGCCAAAAACTTGTTTCGCAAAATTATTAAAAAACCATAATGCATTTGAGTAATATAGCTAAAGCTAATCACACATTTGTATAATGCATAGTGGACACAACCCGTAAGTATTTCTATCTCAATTGTATGTATTTAAAATCACAGTATCAAGTTGGGAAAATGGTCCGTGCGCTGCGTTGTACTGTACGTGTGCCACAGCATGGGACAGAGCCACATGCCCAACTTTCTATGCCATGCGTTGCAACATGCGACACCATATGCCGTGGCGCCTATCTGAAATTTTTGCTATCATTTTGACAGTAAAATGATAAACTTTTAACGTGTGCCGTTTTCACATACGATGTTTAATCGGAGTGATTCAAGCACCCACATAAAACTTATCTCATAAGCTAATTAATGAGATAGGTTTAGACACAATCTAACGGTCTGATCAACATTTAGACACTCGGGGTGTAAAAAGTCACTTTTTCTAAAAATTTTGTGCACCCAAGTGCTCAAATCGATCACTTTCTCTCATTAAACTACACAAGGCCTTGAATCAAAGTTCAAAAAGACTTAATACGCCTGATTGACCATATTATACCACAAACATATGCATATATTAAAATTTAACCCCTCAACGGTTAATTTTTACATTTCATAAACTTTCACAATTTGTTATAACTTGGCAAAACCTAACCCACTTGGCCTTTTTTTTCACATAAGCACATACATTCACATTTATAACATATGTATTATTCAATATTATCCCCAAATTACTCATTCCATTATAATTTTTTACATGGGCTTAAGATTCACTAATATTAATGACAATTTCAACACAAACATACCCACATCATGGCTCTTAATTCATTCCATCACAAATATACACAATTGGGTTATGATTTCACAAAATCACTACTCAAAACATGTATGCAACCCTATGGCAATTCATATACACATATATACACAAGTTCTTAATTCATTATACAAACTCCAAGTTCACACGGCTTTAACAACTCTAAGCCGGCTTAGACTATCTTCCTTTACCCTGATCATTGCCCGATCCTGTAAAAATATAACCATAGGGATGAGATACAAATCTTAGTAACAAAACAACTCGCTCTTAATAATTATTACATGCAACTATATGAAACTAAAACATATTATATCACTTAATATAATATATCACATATTTCATTTTAATTCATAGCCACATGTATCCATTCACCACTTTTTCACATATAGCAACATATTTATCTTTAAATTAACTTTATCTTTCTATATTTACTCCTAAGTTGTTCACCGTAAAATAAATATAAAATAATTTATTTAATGATTATATTTTAAAAAATTAAAAATATTTTATATTTTTGAATATTTAATTTTTCAAAAAAAATGCTCATATTTTTAAATGAAGGGAGTGTATATATATATATATATCCTTCCTTACTTTTTTTTTTTAATCCAAGATAGCCCCCCATGCCAATTATAGCTATTAGTTTTCAAATGTTATCGTCTACCTAAATATAAATCTCAAGAGTTCTAACTTCTAATAAAATTCAAGGCTTGTGATAATTACTGAATCCGATTGTGTGGCAAATTAGCAACGGCAGTGCGTGTGTTGGCAAAGAAGGTAAAAAAGGAAAAAAGTAATTAATAGCAGCACGTGGTGCTCACAAGGTGAGGTTAACACGACACGTGGCGAGATTCTGCTGCTCATTCCTGCGAAGTGGAGAGCAGCAAGGGAGATAGGTGTGAAGAAGAGCTTCGTCTTGTGTCTAGTGCTCTCTCCCGCTCCCACTGTCTGGGCGACATTTTCGATTCTCTACCATTTTCTCTGTTGATGTTTTTGTTGCTCAATGCTTTGGTTTCTCAACTGATGCTCAACTCCTCAAATCCCTAAACTGATCAGAATTTAATCTGGGCTGGAATCCGAGGACAGGAAGATGGCAACCTTGGGTAAAGCGTTCTACACTGTCGGATTCTGGATCCGCGAGACGGGCCAGGCCCTTGATCGCCTTGGCTCCCGTCTTCAGGGAAACTATTACTTCCAAGAACAGCGTACGTCTCACATTTCTCCCCCCTCCCACCTCAGTCTTCTGAAACCCTAGAACGTCCTCATGATTCCTGATATTCTTTCTTATTGCAACTCGTTCCCTCTTATCTGGTCTTTATTTATACAACTATCGATCCCTGCCAAATACTGTTGTTGTTTTTGGATCATTTGCGGTCAATGTGCCAGGAGATGTGTTTAAAAGCCCCTCCTTTATTATTCCATTTTGCCTCCCGGGGAAAAAAATGAGGGAACTTGGAATCTAATTTTTGCACTGTTACCTCAAAGTCTTTAATTTAATGGCTTTCAAAGTCCTTATTCTCATGGTTCTACCTTACAATATATGGTGCTTTTAAATCTTTCCGTTTCTAATCATGCATGATTCTCTTAAAGGCAACAGATTCTATGTTCCCCAGCAGTTTTGTCTTTCGTACTGCTTAGTTGTGTAGCTAGGGTTGAAAGATTATATATTTAGCTGCGCTGCCATAAAATTGAACTATCTTTTCATCTTGGCCAACAGCATTTCATGCTATCTCTCATTTCAGAGTTTCCTTTGATTTCTCTCTGTTTTTTTTTTTATACTTTTCCCCTTTTAATTTGCGGTTCTTTTCAGTGTCCAGGCATCGAACTCTCATGAATGTATTTGACAAAGCTCCTGTGGTTGACAAGGAAGCATTTGTAGCCCCCAATGCATCCATTATTGGCGATGTTCAGGTTGGGCGTGGTTCTTCCATTTGGTATGGATGTGTCCTGAGAGGTACATTGCACCATCATCCAGCTCTTAAGTCACTAAAATTTTAGTTCATTGATACTTCAATTTATTATTTAATTTGAGTGGCAATTCTCGATTCCTTGATGTAATTCAATCCTTAACTCATTAAGAATAAGCTCATAATATCAGTCCCATTGCATGCTGAACGCATTATGTTAAGTTCTCCCACCCTTTGTTGCAAACATGGTTTGGTATAATATATGATAGGCAATCAAGTGCAAACGTATGTGCTTATTTTCTTGGGTAAATATGGAATGAATTAGCTACTTTGTGTTTGTTGTGCAAATATTTGAGCAGAAAATGCTGAGCAATATAGATTTTTGTTCTTAATATCAACCCAGTCCTAGATACCATGCTGCTAAGGTTAGACAGTATAACGTCATCTTATCCACACCTCCTCAGCAAAGTTATTGAAAACGGTAACATAAAAAAAAAAAATACAAAATTTAAAAACACATACCTGCCAGGGGGGGTGAAAGCGAGGGGGGTTGGGAATTGGTCATCATGATCAGACAAATAACTGAACAGAACTGGCAAAAAATACGGAGAAGGATTTCTTCAATCCGTTTCTCGGCAGTTAATTTTTGTCTGAAGGGTGGAGTAATCATTAATGCTTCTAACTTCTCCTTCTCTCTTGTCATTAGGAGAATAGGATAGATGACAACTAGCTGGGAAAAAAAAAAAAGTCCTTAGTCTCATTATTTGCATTTATGGAGTATCAAGGACAAATATCTTATCCATCCTACCCTTACGTGCACGCACACACACACACATATATATGTAAATACTCAGTACATATATCATGGGGTTGAGTGCCAATTTGCTCTCTTGCATTTTTAAATACTTATGTGCCCCACCTGTTGCTTTCTACTTTCATCTAATGATACTTTTTGTGTGAACCTGTGAAGGTGATGCTAACAGCATTAGTATTGGATGCGGAACCAATATACAGGACAATTCTCTTGTCCATGTGGCAAAGTCAAATTTGAGTGGGAAGGTTTTACCAACTATCATTGGAGATAATGTCACTGTAGGTTAGTGACAGACTCATGGGTAAATTGTGATTGTGTTGACGTTGAGCGTAATTTTATTGCAAGTATTGTCTAAATGTTTTGACTTTTGTCTCCATTGAACATCATAGGTCATAGCGCTGTGTTACATGGATGTACTGTTGAGGATGAGGCATTTATTGGCATGGGTGCAACCTTGCTTGATGGTGTCTATGTTGAGAAGCATGCCATGGTTGCTGCTGGAGCTCTTGTCAGGCAGAACACAAAGATCCCTTATGGGGAGGTCTGTTTGATTTGTTTTTTTAAGGGAAAGAAAATATTTTCTAGTCTGCACTTTGAACCCTCGCAGTCGAATAGTTAGATCTGGACATCTGGTTATGTCCTATACGTGTTGAATTGATGACAGAGAGCATTCCCAATGATCCAAGCTGGTCTCAAGTGAACAGTTTGAAAGGGGTTCAGCTTTACTTTTTGTGATTCCTGTGTTGTAATTCTCATGCGTCTTTGATCCTTGGAGACTAGCTGAAGTGATTAAGGTTTTGTTGTAGGTTTGGGGAGGTAATCCAGCCAGGTTCTTGAGAAAGCTAACAGAAAATGAAATGGCCTTCTTTGCTCAGTCAGCTTTAAATTATGCCAGTTTGGCTCACGCTCATGCTGCTGAGAACGCAAAACCATTGGATGCGGCTGAATTTGAGAAGGTTGTCCGCAAGAAGTTTGCCCGAGGTGAGGAGGACTATGATTCAATGCTAGGGGGCGTTAGGGAAACTCCATCAGAGCTTCCTCCTCCAAAGGCCTCTTAAATCTTCCGTTAGGGATTTCTTTGAGATTTGCTGTGAGTGGATCTCTGTAATTTGCAACTAGTGGAGAGCAGCTGCTTTTGTTTTCAATAATCGTGGGCTGTTGCTGATGTCACAAATATCCTACTATGATGCAAATATTTGATCCGTGGCTATGCTCAGTTTATACCGTCAATTTAGAAATATTGCTTGATCGATAACAAACAACAACAGTGGAATCTAGATATGATTTCAGGCATCTGCGGACAAATCTGCAAATCTCCAATTCTCAGTTGTTTTGAAATGTATTTACTCTTCTGATAAGGTTTCTTTGCTGGTTGCTCGGACAAAGAGACTTGTCAGTAGATGGAGTCATTTGACATTGCTGTTCTGTTTTCTTTCTTGCAGCGTCGTAGTTTCACTTGTTAAAGCGATACGGCTAATGCATCAATTGGTGAATAACAATTCTGCTATTTTTTTTGTGAGAATGACATATAGAAGTTTTGAATCAATTAATTTAACTTAGGTTTTAAATATTAAATTTCAAGTTTCTCAATTTTGAAATTTCAGTTGAAATTTTATAATGATGAATTTGCAATTTATGTTTTAAATTTTAATGGGAAAATTAAATTTGTTTATTTTTTAACTTATAAATTTAGCACAATAAAGTTATAAAATTAAAAGTGAAACTTGCAAATTTTTAAAGTCTTGGAACTTAAGTTAAATTAATTGATTTTTTTTTGGGATTTTTTTTAATCATTTTTCCTTTTATTTTTTTTAATAGTATACTATAATGTTTGATTCAGCGGTTGCATTACGTATTCTCCCTGGCAACGAAGCTAAGTAAATCGAAATTATAAACAAGATACTTTGGAAGTAGAATCGGTTTGATATCATATTTTTAGACATTCGTATGAGGTGTGGTGCGCTGGGTATTTCTAATTCTAAAAGGAGGCAATATTTTTGTGTCATATATCTCTTGGTTTCTTGCACATTGAGGAAACTAATATTAAGGCAATATGACCTTATCAGTACCTTACATCCGATAATGCACCATGAAATCCACCTTTATTTTCTTTTTAAATATAGTATCAGTAATAAACTAGTATAACACACGAAATCAGTATTTAAGAGATGTTTGATGAGAAAAATATGCTTGGAGGTGCAAGGAAACACCAGACTATTAAAATCGGATTTCTGTGAATAACCAAACATCAGTTTGCGATCAATATCGCTCTTGACTCTTGAATGTTAAAGCGTGTCTGTCAGCAGCAGAATCTGAGAAATGCGAGCAACGAAGAGACCGACTTCGAAATGTCATGACGTGCTCTGATTAAAAAGAAGGCTTTCCAACGCACTGTCCATCGTGACGAAGCGCGCTCCCTCCGCTGGCCAAAGGATCCACCTTTCTGTTAGGTGGAGGTGAAGTCATTCCTGCAAGAACGAAGGCATGAACAGTACATGTGAAGCAGTGCACCAAACACGAATCTGGAGAAAGTGTAACCATCTCTCCTTTTCCATTTGGCATTTTTCCTCCAACCAATGGGGCCCTCAATCCTTAAAGATACTCTCTTTCGTGCCTTCACTTCATTCTTCAAAATGTTGGTTTCATTTCCTTCATCCAGTCCCCCTCACCAAAACAATTGCGTTTTCAGAATCGCCATGCGCACACCCTGAACATGTTCGATGAAATGCTTCAAAGGTGTCTTCCAGCAGTCAACTCTTTTATTACCTGGCATGTTCGCCAACGTGATGCTGCCACGGCCTGGGCAATCTTTTACCGTATGCGTTACGTGCGTTCCGACATTGACGTTTACACTTTCACTCCTGTCTTGGGTGCCTGTTCTATGTTGCCTAATCCAGAGCGTGGCAAGCAAGTCCACACTTTGATGATCAAAACGGGTTCTGATTCTGGAACTGTGATCGAAACTGCTCTTATGGACATGTATTCCAAATATGGTCTTATGGACGAATCGTTGAAGGTCTTTGAAGAGATGGAATACAGGGATGTAATGACTTGGAATGTCATGCTTTCGAATCTTCTCCGGCATGATCTTCCTCGTGAAGCACTCGGTGTTTTGATAGCAATGAGGGGGAAGAACGTGGAATTTAATGAGTTTACTTTGTGTGCTGTGCTTAAAACTTGTGCCTCTCTTAAGGCCTTGAAACTGGGCAAGCAAGTTCATGGTTTGGTGGTCTCCATGGGTCGTGATTTGGTGGTACTAAGTACTGCTCTTGTTGACTTCTACTCAAGTGTTGGGCAGATCGACGAAGCTTTGAAAGTGTTTAATACTTTGAATTGTACAAAAGACGACATGATGCACAACTCGTTGATTTCTGGATGCTTAAGGAATCAAAGGTACGAAGAGGCGTTCTCTGTCATGCGTATGATGAAACCTAATGTTGTTGCGCTCACCAGCGCCCTTGCAGCTTGCTCTGAGAATTCGGATTTGAGGATAGCAAAACAGATACATTGTGTTGCTATACGTCAGGATTTCACTTCTGACACACAATTATGCAATGTCTTGTTGGACATGTATGCAAAATGTGGTGAGATTTTGCATGCTCGATTATTGTTTGATAGAATTAGTCGAAAAGATGTTATTTCCTGGACAAGTATGATCGATGCATATGGGAACCATGGGCATGGGCATGCAGCTGTTATGCTGTTTGAGGAGATGAGTGAGAACGGAACTATGGTATTGCCCAATCTGGTAACTTTTCTAGCTGTTTTATCAGCTTGTGGTCACTCTATGTTGGTGGAGGAAGGACGAAAATGTTTTCAATTGGGGAGGGAAAAATACGGTCTTGAACCAGGTCCAGAACACTATGCCTGCTTCATAGATATCCTCGGTCGAGCTGGTAGAGTGGATGAAGCATGGTCTATATATTACCATATGATGGAGCTCGGCACTAAGCCTACTGCAGGTGCATGGATAGCATTGTTGAATGCTTGTAGCCTTAACATGGATGCTAAAAGAGGTGAATTCGCTGTAAAACATCTCTTGGAGTTGGAACCTAGTAAAGCTAGCAATATTGTTCTTGTATCAAATTATTATGCAGCCATTGGAAGGTGGGATTGTGTTGATGAACTGAGAAATATCATGAGCACAAAAGGGTTATTTAAGGAAGCTGGCAATAGCTGGATTACTGTTGCTGGCTCCAGTCAAGGTCTCAAGTCATTGTCCTCTTGATTATTCCATGCTCTAGGTTATGTTTGGATTAAGGGAAACAGAGATGAAGTAAAAGGAAGTGATGGGTTGATTTAGATCTAAATTAAGCATTCCCTTCTCTAATCCTTTATTCTCATTGCCGTCTACTTATAATTCCGGCATGTATTATCTGTTATTCCACGGATTATTCCTTGGGCGCAGGGGCATAGATATGTAGAGCAATCCATTGCTGGGGCTAAGGTCATCAGTTCCGCACGCGAGTTCCCAGGCCTCAGTCCAGTGGATGGTGAACAGCTCTTTAAAAACAATAGTTCTTTGACCAGAAAAGAATCTTAACATCTTCTGGCTGCACTGCAATTACTTAAAAAAAAAAAATAGATTTTCCATGGCCTTATTCCAAACGTAAAGTTTGGGAATAGACTAAACTCTTGATAGGAGCCTACACCTTAACATATTTCAAGTCTAAGCTATTAAATAAGCCAACGTTCAAGTTCAGGCCTAAGTTAAATAGACTGGACCCAATTTTTTAAGGTTTAATTTACGAGTTCAAAAAGTTAGCCTATTTACACACACATGTAATGTAATATATTACACACTCATCAGCAGTTTCACCATTTAATTTTTAATCAATTTTATTCTTTTTAACCTCTAGTTATATTTTCAATTAAATTAGACTTATATATTGATTTTCATGTTATTACTTTATTATTGTATTGTTGTTGGTAAATCTTTTTAATTATTATATATTGTAATTCATAAATCAGGTTATATATATATATATATATTATATGTAATATATATATATATATATATCACATATATAAGGCCTAACAATCTTAAAGTATATTTAAAATGTTTAAAATTAAAATGTGAGTTTATTTAAAAGGTTTATTTTTAAGTAGGCGTTTTAAATAGGTTTTCAGGTTAAACCAAGCTTCAGATAGGCCTAAACTTGAGTCATGAAAAAAGCTTATATATATTTCAGGTCAGATTCAAGCATTTGATTTACCACACAGGTTTAAGTCTATTTGGTTAAAGCTTGATTTAGCTAACTTATTTCACCCCTACTCAACGCTACAAATGATGGATCGTTTTTGTTGGAAGCATGTCAATCAACAAAGACGTCAAATGTATATAACACAAGCAACTTATCGCCAAGAATGGGTATATAGTCCAAGTTGAAGGAAGACGTTTGATAAAGAATTCTGGTTTAGATTAGGTTAAAGGATTCATACTTCGTAAACTAGCATAGCTGAAAATTTGAACTGAAGTAGGATTCATATATTTATTATTAATACTCATCATAACTCGTATATTCCTTCCATTTATATTTTATATATATATATATATATATTATTATATCATACATCTTAAAAAAATTAGTTAAATATAATAGTTATATGTGAAAATAAAAAAAAACTAAAATACCCTATACTAATCAATATAAGCATACATTACTTATTTTTTGTTAATATAAATTATGAGAGGTGGTTTAAAAAATATATAATAAATATTTATTAAAATAAGTGATTTTGCTTAAAAAAAATATAAGTGAAAAATAATAGTTTTTCTGACTGGGAGAATAGTTTAAGAAATTTGATAATCCTCTCTTTTCACTACCCCACCCTTAAGTTATTATAAATTTATTTTGGCAGGCATAAATGATACCGTCAGGACATAAAAAAATTAACGTAACTACAGATTCAAACTAAGCTTTGTCTACTTTTCTTGTTGCAGATTCAGTTGAATCATTCAAGCCTAGTTAATTTTAATTTAGGATATAGTGGAGGGACTTTGAATGAAGCCAGATCGGTATCCATAATTGTTTTTAATTCCTCGATGAGTCCAATATCTATCGATGGAATCGCTTGAGGCGGCACAGTAAAAAGTCATCCAAAATTTCGCCATTGATCTCTTTTTTCAAGTCATAGATGTAATACAAATTAAGTTCAAGCAATAGAAAACGTTAAATCAACACCAATACTTATCTACTAGATAATGAAACACATATTAGAGATAAAAAAAAGAGTCTCATGTCTAGAGAATAAAAGATAAATTATGAATATAAAAGGTTTAGGATTTTTCTAACTAAATGACTTAAGTTATTTGGTGAAATAGACTTTCTTTAAGTATATTTAATAAAAAATTTAATATGATATCAAAGTCATACAATGAATGATTTTTGTTTTTTTGGGTGGTTTGGAAATTAAAAATACCTTGTAAATTCCACTAAATTGAAAATAAAAAGAATTCTATACTTCTTATGATTTAAAATTTGATGATGGCCCTATGTGTTGCACAAAGTATGAAATGATGGTATTATTATTCATGGCATGAGTAGTGCATCATTTTATTAAATTTGTTATATATATTCATATATTAATGCTGATATAATATATATTTGAAAAACTTTGTAGTCTTACCTTCAAACCCACAATACTTATGAAATTCAAGAAATAAACAAAATTCAAACCAGCAAAACATGAATAAACAAGGACAATTATTACGATACGACTTTGGCCAAGTCAATTTATTTAGCAAGTAAGCAAAAGAAGTGAATATATAAAGGCGTTCAGTTTCACCGTGAAGCCTTGTCATGTCATCCATTCCATGCTCTGACCAGGCTGCTGTTACAATTTTGAGAGAGATCAAGCCATGTTCAGATCAGCAAGCACTCAGAGGGGACCTGGTAAGTATGAGAAATTGGGGAAAGAAGCTTCTGGAAGTGGGGATGCAGTGAAACCAGAGCTCAAAAGAAGCACAAGTTTGGGATCAGCAAGAGAAATAGGTTCAGGCTCTGCATATGGGAGCGGTCTGCAGAGGAATCCGACCAAGAAGAAGAAGGAGAGCCATCCAATATTCAGCTTCATGGACTTTCGAGGGAACAAGAAAACAACAGCCAGGCCTGAAATGGCAAGGTATGTTGAGTATCTCAAGGAAGGAGGCATGTGGGATTTGGACTCTAATGAGCCTGTCATTTATTACAAATGAAATATCCAGCTTGTGTGTTCGATGTACTTTCTTCTTCTTCTTGTTTAGATTTCTAGTTCAACACTTCAAGTATGTCGCCGAGCAGATATAAGTGTTTCATTAACTTGAATGAAAAAATCATCTTATCTTAATTTGCTTTTGGTGGAGTCAATCCATTCTTAAAACTAATGTATGTTTGACCGTTACATGTATGTTTCGTTTGACCCGTAACGTTACACATGAGTGCACGGCTTCACATTCCCAAGCAAGTGGTTGGATGTGCGGAGAATTAAATGAGACGCAAAAATTAAAGAATTGATACCTTCTCTTTTGTATCTGGTTTTCCGTAAAGTCAGCAAGCTTTACCAGAAAGAAAAATAAAACACATGTTGCAAAACCAAACGATTTCACAGAACTTCAGGGAAGAAAAGTCTCTGTGGTCATTTTTTTTTTAAAATGTTTATCCATGCATATGTTTAATTATTAAATAATGTAAATGAACAAACTTTTTCGTTTTTGAAAAAAAAATAAATTATTCGACTGTCTACCATCTGGTCTAAAATGAAAGTGCTATATTATATTTATGTTTTGGATGCATACATGGTGATGAATCATCAAATCCAACTATGAATAATTCAATTGGCATAACATTTATAGTCATCAAGAATTCTTTTTAATAAGCAACACGTTGTCCCCCCCCCCTCCAAATTTTTAATAGGGTCAAAGTGTCATTCAATTTTCAAATGGGCTTAATCACTTTAGACATTTGAATGTATATTAAGTACCTATAATAAATGGAAAAAAAAAACCCCTACAAATCTATAATAAAACGATAAATTAATACAGCACAACATAAAACATATTGAGTTGGATTAACTCAATTTTGAAATCCCAATTTGGATGATGGTGAGAAACTTTTTTTTGTTGTTGTTACTTTTTAGTATTAACAAGTTTTCGAAGTCACTTTACATTCTCATTAATTTAAATTGAGTTCGACCGGACTGTATGTATGCAAAGCTTTTTTATCAATGAACTAGAGATATATTTTTAACATACAGAACTATAAGGGAGTTTTGCAAATTTAACCCATATCATATGACCAAATAAAATAATATTCCAATCTTTCTTAAATTTGAATAATGGCTTTTTAATATATATATATATATATATGAAATTTAATTGACAAAACTGCCCTTTTAAAATTATAATGCTCTGGTTTTTGCAAATGCTTGAAGACCCCAAACATAAAAGAATAGAGCAGATGAACAAAGACTTAATTTGTTTATGATTTTTTATTTTATTAATTTAGGTATTTGATTCTCTATGATAAGTTAAAAGTCTAAAATTTTTTACAAATTGTATTTGACCTATTTTGAGCAAATGATTATGTATTTTTGTGTTACTGATCTGCGATACTATATTATTAATATATGGTTATATATTAATTATAAACAAGTTTAAGTCTGATTATCTGATTATGTTGATTCATGATTGATACAATATTATATATCACTGATATATAAGTCATATTAGTGAAAACTTACAAACACCATTTTATTTTGTAGATATGGGGATGCTTAATCTCATTGTTTCTTATTATGGAAAATGAGATTAGAACAACCATCATGTCCATGTTTCATATATCTTAAAACGCTTGTGGAAGATACAACTTCATATCTTAATGTTATAGAAATTGTCTATGAAAAATTATAAGTAAATGCAGGTTATGAGGTCAAATTAATGGTTTCTTTTGATATTGGGGCTTTAATATATAGCATTTTAGATGTCAAGAATGACAATAATTTAATATGGTATTCTAATTTGTTGAGAAATTTTAGTCTCTTTAATTTTCAATTGTTTGTCTCTATTTTCAATGGACCTTTATCCATACAAGAAGTGTTTGAACCTTGTCATGAAAGAGCTAGCTTCTTAACTTCATGTTCTTCTACATTTACTAATGATAAGCATTGTAGTGTAGTTGATGAATTTTTGCAAATAGACAATATAAAGAGGGAGCTGTGTTCTTTAGCAAATTAAATGTTCAAAAAGTTTTGCAACTCTTAGCTATAAAAAAGATCATTTTGAATACAAAACATTTAAATCAAATAGTTAGAGGCTTGTTGTTGCTTGCAATGTTAATAGTTGTAAATGATATATATGAACCTCAATGGTTTCTTGTACTTGTGCTTGGATCATTAGATGGTATGTTAGAGACCATACTTATGTTGTTGATGTTATGTGTGGTGATCATAAGTAAGTAACAAGCTTTATCATTAATGAACATGTTAAGTAAAAATCTTCCACAAGCACTTCAAAGTATGAATAATAGATATAATGGTTGTTCAAATTTTATTTTCCATCATAAAAAATAATGATATTATGTATCCTCATATTTGCAAGATAAAATAGTATTGAGAAGTTTTCAATGATATATTATCATATATCAATATAACCAGATAATTAAATATAAATTTATTCATCATTAATATACAATCGTATTTTAATGACGTGATAGAATAAATCAGTAACATGAAAAACACATAATTATTTACCTTAAATGAATCAAACACAATTCACAAAAAGTTTTGTACTCTTAACTTATCACAAAAAATCAAATACTTAAACTAATAAAATAAAAAATCATAAACAATGAGAGAATAAATTGTATTTTCTAGTAATAATTCCAACAAAGTTTCATAATTAATGACATCAAATCATAGATTATGAAGAAATGAACAACTATTTAATAAATATATTATTGAGAAATATGAAGATAGTGAATGATAAATAATATATCTTAGCCTGCTATTCAACTTCAAAAAACCAAAATCTAATGATTAGTCCTGCACTTATTGGATATTATTGTTGAGAAATATTTCACAATGATCCTTGCGGGGCAAGAAAGGAAGGAATAATGGGAAAAGGGGAGAAATATCGTGTGTGTAAGGAATCAACTTAGTTAGCTAAAAGTTAAAGAATTTAGTTAAACTTTAAAATCATTCAGTCACGTGAGATATATTCATGGCTTAGTGCATATGAAAATTATTGTTGCATATGTTTTATATATCTATTTTGTGGATAAAAAGGAAAAATCACCTTCAATTAATTTTGTAAATGAGTTATATTTTAAAATATTTAAAAAACTCATCCATAATTTATGAAAACTCTATTTTTCATGGCCATTGAGCCAATATTCTTTAAAAATAAAATATTTATTTAAATTTTTATAATTATTTACTTTTTTGTACAAAAATCATAATTTTTATTTTTCCTTTTTATTTTTACTTGCAAAAAAGGAATATTTTCCCGGCCTTCTACTGTCAAAAGTCAATCCATATAGAAGATATACCTGTGACCCATGAAAATGGCCAACAAATCCAGGTCCACATAGTCAGACGACGTCGTTTGTAAAAATCACATTATCTTCTGAGCCTCGGATAAAATTAGCAGAGGGAAGGAGCCAGCCAACTTCAACTGTGGACTGTGGAGCTGCGGCAATGGAGCTAATTGCTTCACCCCTGTCTCCAGCTGTTGCCAGAAAGAAATTTGATTCTCACACTCTATTTCCTGCTTTTATCTCCAGAACCATATTCCATCAAATCCCACTTGAATTTTCATCCCAGTTTATTACTTTTATAAATAGGAATTCTCGTTTTGAAGCATGTGCCCGTAAAAAAGAATGGGTCAGCGAACAAGAGTATAGCAGAGAAGTCGAAGGAGCAGAGGAACCACATACGACCTCTAAAGATTTAGACGATGACTTGTCTTTCTTGTCTCTCAGCGAGAAACCTGACAGGAATTTGGCTTTGTTGGACGATTATGAAGCGGAGGAGCTTGATTATGATTCCCACCCTAACCATCAAAGTGGTCTGTCTCTTCATATGCAAAGAAATTTTTTATGCTTCGTTTACCACTTCCTTTGGACTTTGTTTTGTTCTTGGAAAAATTCAGTGGGTTCTGAGCAGAATATTTTTATTCTTGAAAAGCTGACATTGTAACACAGTTTTCTAGCATTAGCAAAAATAACATGCTCAGTTCAACTGTAAATTCTAAAACTTTGACTTTATCGATTATTCACCCCTGTTAAGTTCTCTAATATTTATCTGTGAAGATGGCAAACATAGGATGATGGATTAAAAAATAAGTAGGATGAACCTGGCGGTAATTATCATATAGCTATAGCATCTTCCTCTTCTTATTAATAATGAAAGCATTATGGAAAAGCTGATATGTTGTATTTCTGACTTGTAAATGTGTATATATGTGCCTTTTGCATTATTGGAAATTTTATGGTTTATGCCTGCCCCTGCAATTCTTACCTTGAATGAGTTCAATGCAGGATATGTGGCTTTACTTGGGAAGCCAAATGTCGGGAAAAGTACACTAACAAACCAAATGATTGGTCAAAAGTTGTCTATAGTTACACAGAAACCTCAAACAACAAGGCACCGTATTCTTGGTATATGTTCTGGCTCAGATTATCAGGTTTGGACTTAGTGGAAGCTGATTGGTTTGATTTAGTCAGCCGGTTAGTTGGTTTGTTAAACTCATTATCATGCATGGTCCTTTGATGCTCAAAATTTTGATGCAGAGTACTGTTTTCTTAGATGTGAGGATAATTCAGACGCTTCTTAAAGATACAGTAAATATAGGATTAGTTCTGTTCTGAAGAGCTTAACTCCGAAAGTTTGGTGTTATATGCTTTTGTTCTCTGAGTTTTCATTTATCAGTTGAAAGAGGGATGATAAACATAATAAAAGTTTTTGTGAATATTAGTCTAGCATTGACGTATTTTAAAATAATCCCTATAATAAATTTGTTACTAATGCTTTCCTATTCTGATGTATAATATACACTATTCATGGTGATCACTTCTGATTCATTTATAAAGCTGTGGACCGTGCTGTGCTGTAATATAAGAAATTGAAAAAAAATGGGATTGATAACTAGTTTTCCTGACAGAAAAACTGAGTTGATCTATTTATTTTACACGCATTAATCGTCATGTGTTACAATAAATATTGAGTTTGCTAGGATCTGGATATGTGATATGTCTAGCCACATCTTTTTTAATCCTTGTTTCTCTGACTTGAGGATTTACTGACAGATAATACTTTATGATACACCTGGTGTTCTCAAGAAAGAAATGCACATGTTGGACTCCATGATGATGAAAAACGTTCGCAGTGCTGCAGTTAATGCTGATTGTGTATTAATTCTTGTTGATGCATGTAAAGTTCCTGAAAATGTATGGTTCATGGTTCACAAAACTGCTTGTTTTTGTTTTTGTTTTTCATTTTCTAATTGTTTCTTATTTGTAGATTGATGAAGTGTTGAAGGAAGGTGTAGGTGATCTCAAGGATAAGCCTCCCGCTCTACTGATTCTGAATAAGAAGGATCTTATCAAACCGGGGGAAATTGCAAAGAAACTTGAGGTTGGAACTCATTGATTGGTATAGAGATATTCACAAGTACCAGTGAATTTACCTGTATTTGCTTTTCACATTGTTTTATGTCCTAACATTTTTACGTTCCTTGCAGTGGTATCAGAAACATACTGATGTTGATGAGGTTATACCAGTCAGTGCTAAATACGGTCATGGTGTTGAAGATGTCAAGGAGTGGATACTGTCAAAGCTTCCCAATGGACCAGCATACTATCCAAAGGCATGTTGAAAATCATCATTTCACTGTTCCCATTTAACCCTCCATCCATGAATTATAGCTGTTCAATTGGACACTGAAAATTAAAATTGCTTCTTCTGCTATTAAATGCCTAACACCATGTAAATTCAGGAAAACCATTTGATTCTAAGACTAAGACTAAAATATGAGTCCGCCTGAAGTCAAGACTTGCATTATTCTTGGAAACTTCTGTCCACCAATGTCATTGTTATCAGCATATCAATATGCCATCCTATCATATACCTCATCAATCGCCTATAGGAATACAGTACAGTGCACATAACACATACAATTGCCGATACAGTCTCCAGGTTGGGGTAACAGTGGGGAAGGCTATCAGTGGCAATTGGATATTCCCTATACTTTGCAGACTGGCAACCTGTCCCACCAATGATATCATAGTAAGAAGTGGGACGTCTTAACAGTGATAAGCTAAAGGCTTGCATATTAGAGTCATTACTTGTCCGCATCAGCAATAATTAGTTAGAGTCTGGTTGGAGTAACTAAGTTTGTTAAGTGTTGTTACTTTTCTGTTTAGAGGTTCTGATGCAGTCACATGACTCACAGAGCCTATATATGTACCCTTTTCTATTCAATGAAATCAGAGCAAAGACTTATCACCATCATTTCAGCGTGGTTTCTGGTTGCACCCATTGGTTAGTCATCACTTACATCAAAACCAAAGTTCCACCGTCCACAATTCTTGGGAAAATCACTGAACGTATTGATCCAGTTTTGGTTGGTAAAAATCTTTATTTTAAAGTGAGAAAACAATGTGTTTTTAAACTACATACTGTACATTCTTTATGCTATAAAATTTCCATGAGCCTTAACTTGATTACTCAATCATGTTGTATGATATGTTTCTTAAAGATAAAAATTTACACATAGTTTTTATTGATTTGAAAAAAGCTCATGACCATATACCAAGAGAAGTGCTTTGGAAAGCGTTGGAAAAAAAAGGAGTACGGATTGCTTATATTAAAGCAATACAAGATATGTATGAGGGGGTAAAAACTAGTATAAGAACGCCTAGTGGTCAAACAAAGAATTTTTCTATAAAGATTGAACTACATCAGGGATCATCTTTGAGTCCTTATCTGTTCAACTTGATCCTAAATGTTTTGACGGAACATATTCAAGGGGAAATTTCTAAATGTATGCTCTTCGCGGATGATATAGGTCTTATAGCAGAGACAAGAGAAAATGTTAATTGCACACTTGAGTTATGGAGGAGGACATTGGAGTTGAAACGTTTCTGTCTAAGTAGGAGTAAGACGGAATATTTATATTGTAAATTTGGTAAGAGACTATTCGACAGTAATTTAGAAGTGAAATTGGGAGATCAAATTATACTTCAAGTGAAAAAGTTTAGATATTTGGGAGCCATTATTCAAAATGTTGGTGAAATCAGTGGGGATATTTCTCATAGGATTCAAGCTGGGTGGTTTAATTGGAGAAAAGCTAAAGGAGTTATTTGCAACCGTAAGGTGCCTAATAAACTTAAAGGAAAGTTTTATCGTACTGCTATCAGACCAACAATGTTATATAGTAGTGAATGCTAGGCTCTAATGGGAAAGCAAGAGCATAAAATTGAAGTAGCAGAGATGAGAATGTTATGATGGATGTGCGGACATACACGTAAAGATAAATGAGCACGTACGCGAAAAAGTGAGGGTAGCACCTATTGAGGAAAAAATGGTAGAAAATCGATTGAGATGGTTTGGGCATGTACAAAAAAGACCAAGGGAGGCACCAATAAGAAGAGTGGAACATATAACTTTGAGTTCGATTAAGAGGGGTAGAGGAAGGCCTAAGATAACACTCTTGAAAGTTGTTGAACGCGATCTCTTCATTAATAATATTCCTAAAAGCTTGATAAATGATAGAACACAATGACGTCTTGGATTTGTAGCTGACCCCACCTAGTGGGATAAAGGCTTGTTGTTGTTGTTGTTATTCTTTCTCTATATTTAATGGATCTGTTTGGCATGGTCTTCTATTTTGTACTGAAAAGTGTCTAAAAAACTCGGTCGTCTGTGACCTTAACGATTTAGCTATTTACACAGAAGGCTTAAATAAACATATTTTAAGTCAAATATACTAGTTCTATTAATTTCTTGGTGTTTCTGGAATGTTTCTATTAGATGGATTTATTGACAGCAATCATTTTCATTTCTAACGTAATAAATTGACCTCTATATATGAAGAAACTTAATATCTTTCCAGTCATCATTTTGTCAAAACTAGGTTTCGCCCTTGAAGTTTTCCTGCATGAAAACCAAAAAAATGCGGAAATTCATGAAACCCCATCAGCACAGGAAAAATATAGCGTCTGTTGTTTAAGTGATATATTGATGATTGTTTCTGGCACGTGTTTTGTTTTCCTTAATGTTGTTCATGAATTTACAGGGCATTGTCAGTGAGCACCCAGAGAGATTTTTTGTGGGTGAAATTATTAGAGAAAAGATCTTTATGCAGTATCGAAATGAAATACCCTATGCTTGTCAGGTAACCATCAAATAGTTAGTGCTTGATTTATGATATAGTTGCCATGTTCCAATGAAAAGCAAAGAGGGGCAAAAAAGTGGAGGGCAAAGGAAAAGGAAGAAATAAATGAAACAACTTGTTTTCTTGGATTTATATGCAAATAATCTTAATTCTAAATTGTCCAGGTGAATGTTGTAAGCTACAAGGCTCGGCCCAATGCAAAGGATTTCATTCAAGTGGAGATTGTTGTTGAAAAAAATTCACAGAAGATTATACTTATTGGAAGAGTATGTCACTTATATCAAATTTCGATTAATCATATTCATTTGTGAAATCCTGGGGTCCATATGATCTAGACGTAGTGCATTGTCAATGCTAATAATTCAATTTTGGGTTTTGGCACTTTGGCATCGGTTTTGAGTTTTGACCTGTAAACTTAACACTGTATTTGAGAACATTGACTGAAAAGAGATGATGGTATGGAACAAAATAAAATTTTAAATATAACTGTCAAGAATTTTAGCTCTTATAGATTGAAAATTAAATGGTTTTTAAATATGCCTCTTCCCCTTACACATGCATTTATCTGCTTCATAATAAGGGCTATACAGTAATTTATTTGGGTTTTTTGCTTAACTTCTTCAGGAGGGAAAGGCTTTGAAACTTCTTGCAACAGCTGCCCGTCTTGACATTGAAGACTTTCTGCAGAAGAAAGTTTATCTTGAGGTGCTTGCTTATACCATTTCTGCATTATATGTATGCTGCTCAGTTTAGCCAGATCTTGCGCCATTTTGCTGTTTCTTTTAATAATCTCATCGAGCTTCAAGTGGTGGTAAAGTACTATGTATATGAACTTATTTACCAAGCACGTTTGTTTGAACAGATTGAAGTGAAGGTGAGAGAAAATTGGCGACAAGATGAAGGCCTTCTTAAGAACTATGGATATGGAGGCCAGATACGAGTTCTCTGATGTAAAGATACATAAAATATTTGTCAGACATCAATCTTGCCAGGGGTGGGATCATAACTTGAACTGCATGAGATTTTGATTGACACTGCCCCCTTCCTCGCCTTTTAGCCATGTCAAGTGGGATCATCACTAACAACTGAAGCTGTAAAAGAGGAAAAGGGAAGGAAAAGATCTGACTTGGAAAGCAATTTCTGGTGATGCAGCGCCCCGGATATTGCAGAGCAGGAGAGTGGAAATCACTGAAGTAGGGATTCATTAGTTTTAAGGGAACCATCCCAAGACCTGTTTTGGTCTCTTTTTAATGACATACATGATGATAATTTCCAGGGAAAAAATTATTCTGGATTACTTTTCTTGAATATATTTACATGTTTCAGGTACAATTTGTTTAGCTTTTAATAGGGTGGCATTATCTTTATGAGTATCAAGCCCTTGTTCATCACTGGAAAACTCGGAATCTAGTGATGTCAAATCATGTAACCTATCAATCATAATCAAAATAGAATTTGACCTATACCAGCTAAAAGGCTTAATATTTTTTTTTGAGTTAAAATTCGTTGTTGTCCTTAAATTATATACTTTGCTTTGGTTCAATTCATCCAGTATCCTACCATTAAATTTAGTTGACAGTTAAGTGAACAAATGGGGCCAAGAAATTTGAGGAGTTGGCTGCCACTTGGGACACCATGTCATCATCTCACCATATCTTTCTCTCTCTCTGCCTCATCATCAGGTTCCCCCCACCGCCTTCACTCTCCTGTGCCTGATCTCATCACCTCCCCCTCTCCCACTTCACTCCCAGCATTTTCTGACCAGGTCTTTCTCCTGAAAGGTTTTCAATATTCTGATGTACCAGTCTTCTAAATGAGATGTGGTTGCTGGCTTCAACGATGGTGGTGATGGCTAGGTTCTATCTCTAGATACTACCATCCAGGATGGGGATGGGTTTTAGGTGGCGTTGACAGTGGGATTGTCGAGGCTGGGGCTGGTGAGAAATTGGATCCAGGGAAGATGATTCTAGAGCTCAACTTGCTCGAAGTTCCTTCAATGTTTATCTGCCCAATCTCCCTCAAGCCAATGCAAGATCCAGTCATACTTTCCACCGGCCAAACCTACGAGAGGTCCAACATACTTCTGGGTTTTTTCCTTGCTTTTTTTTTTTTAAAAAAAATTACTTGCTTGAAGAGATTTGTGCAGATATATTCATCACTGGCATGGGTGCTAATACGGGTAAACAAGCTAGCAAAGAGGCTAGCTCTTCGGCCAGAAAATCAAGCCCCTTCTTCCAACCTAACATTTTTTGTGTGCTTCTTGAATCGTAAAAAAATCTTTCTTGAAACGTCCTTGATTGGTGATTAAGAAGAACCCCACTCTTGCGTGTTCTACCTATCTCAATTACGACGCCTATTATGGTGGGCCAGTTTGAAACGGCATCGCATTGAAGTGTTTGTGGATTGAAGAAGGTTGATCACAGGAATGCCTCGAGCATTGGCGATGATGGAGAGATCAGGCCTTTGTTCTGGGGTTTGAATTGGTTATGTTTTATGTGGTGCTTGGACTGATTCGGTGTGAATTTTGCCTTCTCAAGTGGTTTTTTTTTTCCCTTGAGTTTTTTGAAGTTTTGGGGATGATGTTGATTAACTAAAGCAGAAGATGAATCATTTTTGGAATATGTTGCCATTGAGATCGAAAAAGGGTGAGTCACGTCAATCAAGGTTAAATCTAACCCTACTTAATAGCAAGGAAAAAATAATACATCCTTTATAGTTAAAGGAGAAATGTATCAAAATAAAAGATAGAACACCAAGTATCCCTAAGAGTATAATTCAAAAAAACACTTTAACCCATTTTTTATGCATAATTTTTTAAAATTTGGGAAAGGGCTGCGCGAACGCAAGCCCCAACTGCCACAAATTATGATGTAGGCTCTCCTACTTGAGGAGACCTTAAGCAGGTGCCCCTTCAAAGTGCAATGAAGATCACCAACTTAAGCCATGAGTCTTCCAGATCACCCATTGACTCCATCCAGGTAAGTATGTTTATAAGGTTCCGTTACCTTCTCCTTTATACGGCTCCACCCACACGTCTTGGATTGTAGCTTCCGATGTGGGACTTAATAGTCTTGGATTTGCTATTCTGACGAGGCAAATTCATTTCCCTCAATGAAAATGTATTTGATTATTTTGCACGTGGCTAGATAACAAGTTTATTGCCAGAATATTTGTGAACATATCTTCCATTCTCAAATATGAAAAGAACAAAAATGATCTATTGTGACAAGATTCAATTTAAAGATGGAGACTGTTACTTGTATTATTAGAAATCTTTTCCTAGATTCTGAAACCAAGAGACTGACGTTCCAGCGTTGATATGGATGAAATGAAACTGAATGAAAATATTAGACAACTAATCAAGGTTGCATGTAACACACAAAATTTTAAAAATGAGAAGTAAGATTATATCTATGGTTCATGAAGAAGGAATTGGAGAATGGTAATTAAAGTACAAGTCAAGGGAATTGCAGCTGAGATGTGAAGAGGGAAGGAAGATCCAATTGCATTCACTACCACCACTTAATAACTTATTACAATCAATCACATATTCTTACCCATTCAAGCAATATCATACATAGTAGATAAGTATATTACCTAATCTTGTCCAAGAGAGGCTGAAAAGAATATACACAAACAAGGAGACATTAAAAATTAATTGGACTCTCAAATTATATATTTATTAATAAAATAAAAATAATTAATTTGGTTATTTAAGCTTGTAAGTAATGAAAGTTAGACAAGAGCAATATGCATTTATTTTATTATTTACTTGTTTCATACTGTTGAGAATTATAAACTTGAATTAAGCAGATTTAACATTCATTGATGAACATTACAATATCATAATCCTTCTCTTGAAAGATTTACAATCTAATCAACTCACTTCGGTGATGAACAAACCTCATTTTGAAGGCTAATATGAGGTGAGGATCAAGTTAACCTCCCTCTCTTATGTAGGATTAAACTCCCTTACCTAAATGCCTATCGCCTTTCATTTTACATAAGTTTAGACCATCAACCAACAATGATTAATAACTAATATTTCAACACCCCCTTTAAGTTGACGTCTCTTTGACTGTAAGTACTCAACTTGCCAACAACAACAAAGAGGGGCAACAACATGCCGAAATATTAACATACAACTATGATGAGCTGTATCAATATTTCTCACAAATTTGGTCAACTAGACCAACAACTTCAACTTGCAAAACCTTCATGGAGATATCTTCTTCAAAACTTGTCCTCTTCATCAATATTGATATAGTTCATCAATATTTCTCTTATGCACTAGCTGAAGGACGAAACCAGTTCTTCATCTGGAAATTCAATTCTAACAAGATTGAAAAATGTTGCAGCAACCAAAACTACATCACAGTATAATAGATCCTTTGATGATGATGACCCCATTTTCCTGCAATTATCCTTCGTAGAAAACAGCCATGCTACTCAAAAGAGAATTCAACACAACCATACCTCTCTCCTCCGCCTCACTGTTTGAAATCCATTCTCTTGATTTTTGCTTTGCCAAGTTATGACTATGCATGTACTGATATATTTGAGATTATAAACAATGATTCTGCCAGCAACTCCAATAAGTTCCTACAAATTAGTGCTTCTTTAATATGCATTTGCAAATCCCTAGTGGTGATAGATCATGTTGACTGTTTCTACCAAACTACCATAATTTCTTCTGCATCCCAATCCATCAAGCTCGTCCAATATAGAAGCTGTAGCTTTGTTGATACATAACAAAACAACTCACAATGAACAAGTGACGAGAATCAAAGCTATCATAAAGGGACAAATGACGAGGAGCTGAGTAAAGATGAATATAATTCAGATAGATGTTGAATATACTGTTGAATTATCCTTTTGCTAGAAGCCTGACAGTGTGATTGGAATATTAGCCCATGTTTCTCTAGATGCCAATAATTAGAACCAATAATTAGAGCAAATCTTGATGGGCTAACCCGAATCCATTCAAAAAATTTAGAACCATGCCCAAAAAAATGATATTTTTCTTATGTTCCGGCTTATTCGAGCACAAAAAAATTCGGGCTATCAGATTAGTCTTGGCTTGAATACTCAAATAAAAAAATATTTTAAAAATATATAAAATATAATAAATGTTAATTAATTTTCTAAGTTTTATGTTATTTTATACTAAAATACTATATATTCAAGTACATTACTATAGTTATTTTTTAAAAAATTAAAAATAGTTATATTTTTATTTTTATATTCTTTTTCATCAATAAAATATCTCAAAATAATATTTAAAATATATTTTCATATTAATTTTTATATTTTAAGACCCAATTATTTTTTTAAAAAAATTTGAGTTCTATACATTATTTGAGCATAGAAAAATATATTTTATATTTTATAAAATAAGATAATTAATTTTAAAGTAAAAATTAAATTAAAAATAATTTTAAAAAATCATACATATACAAATTCTCAACTCTAATATTCAATAAATATAATAAATAGAACAATACTTTTGAATAATTATTTGATTACCATCCACGCTAGACTTGGTTAGAAATTAAGAATAAACTAGAATTAATACCCATTTTATGCAAGGCTTAAATAATATAAAAAATTAAAAAAAATTCCAAAAAATACTATGTTACTCATAATTAATTAATTTTATTTTATATAATATAATAATAACTATTTTTTTTATATTTTTAAAAACTAAAAGTATAGTTTAGCTAAAAGTTATTAAAAATTTTAAACTAATTTGGAGCAATAATTTTAAATTAGTAGTCTCACTATAATTGAATTGAGATTAACTTGATCATAATTAAAATAATATAATTTAATTAAAATATATAAAATATTTATATATAATCATGATAAGAATAATATTTAAACAACTAAGATATTAATTTACAAGTAAAGAAAATATTTATAAATAAATTACACATAATACAACAAAATAGTAATAAAGTTACTTAAGTACAAATTTAATAAATTATTTTTTTATTCTTTTATAGTCAAAATAATATTTTATGCTTAACTAACTTATTTAAAAATTAAAATTAGTTTAAAAAATAAAAAAATATTTTTAAAATCAAGTATTCAGGCCAATCTAAATAAGTTCAAAGGAGTTAAGGCCTGACTTAACTATATAGGCTTTCTAGATATGGGTGAAAATAGGCTAGGATCTTAATAGAGTCCTATAGCCTAGCCTACTTATTAAATAAGTTTAGGCCATATTCAAGCCTTTAATTAAGTCTATTTAGTTAAATAGACCAAACCTATTTTGGTAAGGTCTAGTCTACAAATCCAACAAGTCGGCCTATATATATATATATATATATTATGTATTATATCACAAACACATCAATTTCACCATATGATTTTTAATCAATTTATTCTTTATTACTTCTAGTTATATTTTCAATCATATTAGACTTATATTTTAATTTTAATGTTATCACTTTATTGTTGTATTTTATTATAGTTGATAAATTTTTGCAATTTTTAGATATTATAATTGATAAATCAAGTTATATATTATATATTATAATAGTCCTAAAATATATTTAAGGCGTTTAAAATGCAAGCTTAATTAAAAGTTTTTATTTTTAAATAAACTTTTAAATAGACTTTCAAGTTAGGTCAGGTTTTAGGCAAGCATAAGCATAAGCCATAAAAAAAAAACTTATACAGGCTTAAAATCAGATTCAGGTCTCTGATTTAACACATAGGCTTAGATCTATTTGACTAAAACTTAACTTGACCCAATCTAGTTTCATCCTTAGTAGAATACTTTAAATTTGATCTGAATAAATTTGACATGCTTGAATTCCCCGCTCTACCAATGATATCCGATTCTTGAATTAGTAGATCATGTTTAGTCATTAGTATGAGGTCTCCATCCAAGAGCAACTTCAGCCCCGAAAGGATGCTAGGTAACAACATGCTGCAATCCACATAAACTTGCAAACCCGCTTTTTTTGTTTGTAGATACGACAGCAAGGCATTGACAATACTAATCAAAAAAACACTTACAAATTGCAAATATGAGAAGAGCCATGAATCCACACATCTTTCTTCATGATTGCATCAAAATTTCTAAAACCCACTTCATGAAACAGTCCCAAGATTCATCAATCAAGGTTCATCTTTAAGCTTTTGGCCACTCCATGGGAGCCAATCTACTGAGTTGACCATCGGCTTTGAGATACTATCATCATTTCTCGACTTGACTTCAGAGAAAAAGGCGTAGAAGGAAAGTGAGAAATCAGAGTCGGCTTTCTTACTGTAATACAATAACTGACCGGTGAACATACCTTCAACGAAGAACTCGCTCTACTTTGAGAAAGGAACGATCATCTTCTTCACGGAAGTCAATGGTGGCCGTCGTCATTCCTGGAGTTTCGGGGACAATCTTCTTCTTCAATGCTACCTTACCACTCTCTGTCAGAGGCTCAGGCTGCTCTCGACCGTAATAACGATGTGGAAGGTTGAGTAGCAGCGAAAACTAGGAATTGTTTTCTGGATCTAAGATGACAACGACTTTGAGGCGGAGATGGCAAGGCTTATAAAAAGGATCGCGACGAAGGGAAAACCTTCGGCGAATGAAAGAACGTGCAACGCAGCGTCCCACGCATGAACAAGAAATGCACCGTGTTTCAAATCAGAGAGGTCGCTGGATTATGTCCCTGATGGACCCGAATTCTTAATTTTGGGCCCATTTCTTGCAACTTTTGCCCTGGTCTTGAAACTTATTCGGGCCCAACTATTGATTCTGTGGTTTTTTCTTGTCTTTCAAGAGGGCATATAAATCTTGGTTTCTCGGCTAAATCTTGCAGATCATCCTTTGAACAATCATAATGTCCAAAGACGGCCTGCTCTTGATACCATGTTGAGAATTGTAAATTTGAATTAAAAAGATTGAACATTCATTGATGAAGATAATACAACATTACAATATCATAATCCTTCCATTGAAGGATTTACAATCCAATCAACTTATTTGAATGATAAACAAACCCTATTTTGAGGGAGGATCAAGTTAACATCTCTCTCTTAAGTAGGATTAAACTTTCTTACCTAAATACCTAACCCTTATCCTTTTATATAAGTATGGGCAAACAACTAACCATGATTAATAACTAATATTCCAATACATCCCAATGAACAAAATAATTCATTGCCCTTGTCTCTTGTTATTTTCTTAAGCATCGGGGTCCGTTTGGCTGATTATGCGTGAACTAAAATATGATTAAAACTTTTAGAGGTTACTAGAAGAGGGAAGAGTTGTTTATAAGGAGACACAGAAAATAGGAGTCGAGGCTACATAAATCGCATATTGCCTAAATCATGATTCTAATATTTCTTTTATTTTTAATCCAACCTAATTAAATTAACTCACTTTCTTTTTTAAATTATTTTATTATTTGAAGGTACCCTTCTATTAAAAATAATTTATTTAATTGGAGTGATTAATGAGACTTTGCACGTCATGATTTGTTTAATTTTTGGTACATGAGTCGTGCCTTTTTTAAATGATGATCACATTGACGTCAATCTGATTTTTTTTTTATCTTAAATCTAGTCTAATTAAGCTTGGCGGACAAAAAAATCTAGTTTAATTGAGACTTACGTGATATGCTTTTCCATAACCTTTTGAATTGGATTAGCCAATGTGATCACCACATTTGTGAGAGTCGTGTGCCACAATAAAAGTAATATTTGAAACAAATTTTATGTTTTCAACAGTCAAAAAATTGATGATGATCGTTCAAGCTACGTATATAAAATAAAAATACCTTATTATATAAGTATTATTTAAGACCAAGTTGATGTATATATTGATAGGTTTTTGGGTGAACCCTATGTTGTGGCAAAAAATACAAAACATTTTCTCTCCCAAAAAAAAATTGATAACATGATTTATAAATAAAACTTAAAAAATCATTCTTTCTTCGCCTTATGTAAAGAACCAAAGGGGGTATGTATATAACACAATGCTTTTGAATGGGATCTCTTGTTGAAAATTAATTCTTACCATTACAAGAATTGGTTTAGAAGGTGAAGGGTGACAAGAATAAGCTAATAATAGTTCAACATGGAAGAGAGATGAGATTGAATTAAATGAAAGATGCATAAAGTTGATCAGCCTTGTCGTTGAAGCCAAAGGTGAATGAAATAGAAAGTGTAAGCGAAGCAGACAGAGGAAGAGGCAGAAAGAAGGATGAGTTTGAGAGTGAAGGAAGATTGGATGACATGGGCCACCAAAGCATTCCAAAGCCAAAACCAAGAGCCACTGAATAACATCCCAATGCCTCCGCCCACTACCACCTGACTCACCGTGTGAAACTGCTGCGACACTCGTAGGTATGACTGCAAATACAACACACCATTAATCTTACTATCAATAAACCCTTTCTTAATCCATTGTATGTAACAATAGTGCAAAATATCCTAATTGATTTAATGCTTTTGTGTTCAACTCAATACACTACTCCCACGCGCGGTTCTTTTTTTATTCAAAAAATTCTAACAAATTCAAAACACACCATTGCAAGATCAGAGAAATTAATGTAAAATACAAGTCACAATTATGAGCATAATAATTTTGAGATGTACTAGCAGTAATTTAATTTTATGTAATGTTTGATTAATGATTTGGATTTGGACTTAGATTTTAAATCCTGTATTTCAAATCTTACATTTAAAACCTATATATTATTTAAAATCTTTCATTTCAATTATTTAAAAAATTTCGAATGAAAATGAGAGATGAGTTAAATGAAAATAAAAATTGAGAATGACAAATGTATATCTAACTTGTAATCGATTAGAAATGACAATGAAAAATGATAAAATATATGAGAGTCATAGATGTATTGATAGTAAAAAAAAAAAAAGGAGTGTGAGATGTCTAAAAATGATAGAAATTTTAAATAACTAAATTGTAGTAGGGAATTTGAAATTATGAAATAATTGTAATAAGATTTGAATTTGAATTTAAATCAAATCTAAGTTCATAAATTTTTATGTATTCATAAAAGAAAAATTTGATTCAAATCTAAATCTAAATGTCCAATAATCCAAATGCAATTATTGTATTTGTGCAAAATTTTAATAGTTCTAAATTAGCTAATACTTTGAGAAAGGACTTGCAAATACAGACGTTCTAGTTTAATGTTGCATAAGATCGAGTATCACAACTTGAAAACAATAGGTTCGTGTCTAGCCTATACCCATGCATGACCTGTTAGAGTTTGGAGTGTGAGAACCTTTCAGTAATTGGTGTAAGCTTGGATAAGGAAAGAGAGAATTGAATGAAAGAAGATTTTATTACTAACACTGACAGCAATTTATACACTTTTTTTTTTTTTGACTTTTCTATCTCTAACTTTCTCTTGCCACTTGCATGCTTCAGCTTCTCTTTTCTGCTCACACTCAAATCAAACCAACACCCAACGCGACGTATTTATAGCTTTCATATGTCAGCTTACAGCCTTTTTGATTTTGCTTCTTTCACTGTCTTCGATTAAAATAATTGTTTCCAAATTTTTCCTGACAAATATTAGCTGATCCTTCTAAAATGACATAATAGAAGCGAACATTCTAGAGAGAGAAGTGGATGATTTTCCAATATAACCCAATAATGTAAGAGAAAACCAAAATAGGACTCCTTTTGGAATTTGGATTAAGGTTACTTAAGCTTAATTAAACATGGAGTAGAAGCTACGGAATTAATTAAAAAACTTCTTACGAAATAAGAACCAAATGCCAATGTGAGTCCGCCGATTGTTATGGTGAATTCATTCATCCCTGCCCATTTGATACCTGCATAATATATTCAAGATTCCAACTATCTATTATATAATCTGCTATCACTCATGCTGAAAGGAATGCAAACTAGTAGTACATGTAGTAAGATTACAATAATTGTTATAAGTGGGAGAAATATAATTACTTGACAAAACGGCGAACATGGCAATGAAATAGAAAGTTTGGGCATGGGAAGAGGGCATCCCGGGATCAGATCTGAGGGTCGAAGGCCTTTCCTGGTTCAGTATTTGTTTCAGCTCTACGGAAAGCACCATATTTAAAGCACATCCTAGTGCAAACCAAAAGGTTTCTGCATCATGCCTCCATATAATATACCCGTTAAATATAATAGCTGTTATCCACTTGCTCTGTAAACGACAAACCCAAATACATCAGCTCGTTAAAATCACGGTAATTACCTGGTATATATGTTTGAACATGAAGAAAGTATCTAGATGAAGTGAAGGGGAACAATAAGGTTTGGTCAAGGAGACCATATGACAACTTATAATTACGAACACATTGAACCAGATCCTACTCATCAGAATTGTAAACAATCTCAGGCATGATATCAGAACAAATAAAACAAATTACGAACCAGTCTGTTGATAATCGATTCCACCCTACGGAACACAAACGCTGAAGGAATCGACTCGGATGGCCCATCAAGGAAAGTTCCTTGTTCAAGTCCTCCAAGTCCTTCGTCAGTACTCTTGCTCTCTTTACAGGCCGAAGATTTAATCAACTTCTTTACAGTCCTCGGTACCCAGAATCCTTTTGTTCCAGAAACAGCTCTCCTCAGAACAATTCTGGGGCAGAAGATTGATGCTGAAGCAGAAAAAGTGTGAGGAAATGAAGAATCTTTGAAGCATCTGTGATTAAGGGAATTGGTGGGGTTGAAGTGAGAGAGAATAGATTTGTTGGAAATGATGGTGGCTGGAGCCATGGGGACAAGCGGCAGCGCCCAAGGGCATTGGGATATATATAACCAATAAGTTAAATAAACTATAAATGCAAGGACCTGTGTGAATGGAGTATTATTACGGAAAGAGAAAGTGAGACATCAGATCATCGGCTAAGTCCAAAGATGGGATCTGTTTGCATATATTGATTAGGCGAAAGTATCAATCAATCCTGAAGCACGTAATCAACATGTTTAATTTATTATCGCTTTTTTTTAAGCTCGTATTATTAATTTTTCTAATGGGGTCATGAGTTGTGTGTGCATGGGATATTATTATTTCTTTTGATCCTATTAAATCTTGGTAGGAGCAAGTATGTTATTAAAGTACAAGCATATATTTAATATCGTGGAGCTAAATTTTTTTATTAAATCTTTAAAAAAGAGTTATTGATGAATTTTAAATTTTTTTATTATCATAAGTGATTTATAAATAAGACTAAAAAGAGCATGTGAAAGATAATCAAGTAAAGTTGGGAATGAAGGCCGGATTTAAAGGGCCGGCCGTTCAAATTTATTTTTATAAAAGTTTACACTTTAAAAATTGACACTTCTTAAGAAAACCAAACTTTGAAACTTGATCCTAATAAGTCCTTAAAAAAGAAGATTAGGTGATTATTTTAAGCTCATTTTTGTTTTTCCTTTAAAAAATAAAATATATTTAATTTTAAATTAAATTTAAAATTTAGAATTAGAATTTCTGTTATTTATTTTAAATTTTTGAACATTATAGTTTATATTTTAAAAAATATATAACATATTATAATTAAAAATTTAATTTTTTAAAATTCAAAAAATAATAATAATAATAATAGATTACGAGAACGACTTTAAATCCTTTATATAAGAGTGTTTCAGGAAATGAAATATTTTAGAAAAATCAGGCTATCAAGGAATACATATCCCTACCTTTTAGGGAAGCCAGTTGAAGCTTTAATGAAATCAATCAATCATTGTAGGAACTATAACTTCTTTAAAAATGCGAAAAAGAAAAATCTCTAAGTCACATGCAGCAAGATTTGGGTATTACCAAGATTAGGCATATTGTCGAATATATTAATCACCTCTGCTAGACTACTAACTTAATTTGTAATTGCTTAGCTAGCTTGATCATATTATCAAATTAATCTTAGACAATAATATTACGTTGATCTGACACCAAACATACGTAATATATATAGAGAGAGATCAGTGGTATATGCTTGGCTTCTAACATCTTTAAATACTTGCCCATTGCTTGTCAAATGTATCAAAATCATGTTTCCAGTGTTAAGAAAGGAAGAAATATGCGATGAGCTTGTCAATGCATTGAAGGGACATTCATCCTGTGGATCTGGCGTCCAGAGTTAAAACAGGCCACCTTATAGTTACTTGCAACAGAATTGTTGAACTACTCTTACAGTCCCTCGAGTATAATAATATTTTTCAATGAATTTTCTGTAGGAGAATTAATCACGTCAATTAATTAATTGGAGTTGAGAGAGTCGTGTTGAGTAGTACTCAACTGCCCGTATGGTGGTTAAGGACAACCAGCAGGACCCACATGAGGAAAATCATGTAAAAGATAGTATGAATGAGCATTTAGGGAAGGTGGAAATTAAACTAAACTAAATTAGTCTCCATACAAAGGTACGGCCACTTAAACATAAAAGTTTTGGCTTCCAATCCATATGAATGCAAAAGATGTTGATTAGAAGCTAAGAGAGCTACTTTATTTGAAGCTTGACTTGATTTTAATCCAAATTAAATTAATCCAAGTCTAATGTACCTTTGAATACACCAATGGGGGTTGGGTACGTGATTTATAATTTTTCTAAATTAATTAACTCCATGCTTTTTTTTTTTGAAATACAAAGCCACATATAAAAATCTGTGCAAATAAATAACCAATCAGGTCATGTCATACATAAAAAATTAATATATTCAACATAAAAAATTTTAATGTCTAAACTTTTATGCATAGACACATTGATTAGTTTTTTTTACATATATTTAGTTAAAAGTGATCATCCAATCTTTTATTATAAAATTTTTAAATTAACTCCACCTTGAATCCAGGGTTTGGGTTGTGTTCCAAATTTGCCAATTAATATTCCCTACCTTTGAAGCAATAATTATTTTGAGGGTGAACATCAACCGAAATTTTGCTCTCCATTGTCCAACTCCGACTTTAATTTTAGCCATAATTATTTAATTTGGATGTTTGACGGAAGATTTCTTACATTCCAGAACCTTTTTTGTATACCATTTATGAACTTTAATATTTGGCCACCGAATTTTAAATTTTTTAAGTTTATGTAAATAAATTCTCATGTTTCTAATTTGTAGACTATTTCAATAAAGAAAACTTGATACATAAAAAACAGCATGCTAATTTAAACAAAAAGACTATACACATTTTTTAGTATTTTGTTTGAAGAAAAATTTTAAAAAATGAGCCACAATGTTCATGACTTGTGAATATACTGTGGCTTATTATGAATTTTATATTTTATACTAATATTAATTTTACAAAATTTAAATTTAGAAAAATATATGTGGAGATCATCAATATACTCTCTGTGAGTTTGGATTAGACATTACAAAAAAATTAACTTGTAACATTAATTTTTGTTGTCGTTGAAAGTTAAAATGTCATCACTAAAAGTTTTTATCTATTTGCGACAATTTTTTTGTCAATATTAAAAAGTAATGCCAATTTACATAGCTAGGTAGCGCCACATCACCTATCACATGTCATCCTCCATGTGACACCATATCACTTTTCACATGTCAACCTCCACGTGGAGGCATGTCTCCTTCCACATGTCACCCTCACCTCATACCATGTGTTATCGTATCATCAATTTATTTTTTTATTCTACAAATTTCTTTTTTTAATGTTTGAACTCATGACCTCCTTCTTTTGTGTCTCATTATTTTGTCATTGAGCTAGAATAAACTTGCAATCTATTATTGTTTAATTAAATATATATTATTAAACTAAACAAACAAACATACTATATCTTAAATATTAACTATTATAAAATATTATTACTATTATTAAATACTTCAATTTAATTCTTTTAATTTATTAAAATTAAAAATTATATTATTTATTTTGTCTAAAGTAAACTACAAATATAATTGATACAATATTATTTATATTATTTATTTTAAATTTTTTTACTTTCCAAGGTTATTATATTATTTATTTCAATATTCACATTTATAATTATAATATAAAAATAACTAATAATAAATAATAAAAATATAAATGATTATACATTAGATCATAATTCTTTATTTTTCTAGCTAGTTTTATTTAAAATTTTAGTTTTACTTTTAATTAGAAATAATTATTAAGTAATTTAATTGGCTTATTTTTTACATTGTACTTTTTAATTAGTTTCATTTTTAAATTATAATTTTATAAGAAAATTATACACTACATTATTTAATTTTTTTAATATTTATATCGCAAGATAGCATCATATAAAAAAATCATATAACATCACATACATAGATATATTTAATATATTATAAAATTTAAAAGTAGAATTTTAGAATATCTCATTTCTCTTCTTTTCATCTTTATCTTTCTTATTATTAGCCATTAAAATAGGAACATTTAAACTGGCATCAAACTTTAAAGTTACCGATATTAAATATAAAATTTAAATTAAAAAATTAGATTGGATGAAATATGATTATATGAATAAATAAATTTAATCATCACATATCTAATTATTATAACTAAATAGTGTTATTGTTTAAAATATCAATTTAATCATAAAACATTTAAAAATAGAGACTCATTATCACATTATATATATTTTAAATTAAAATATCAAAAATTAAGTTTTTGAATGAATTTATCACTTCATATAGAGGTATGTATTGATCAATTTAGTTAGATTCAATGTTAATTGGCCAAAACCAATAATGCATCAAACTGATCAAAATAGTTGGACCGAATCAAACCAAACATTATTTGGTAACAAAAATTGATGCAAAATAATACAGTTTGGCTTAATTTTTTAATCCAACTCATTAGCATTAAATAACACCTTAAGGTATTATTTTAAAGTTACTCTCTTCGTTCAAAAATGTAAGGCATTTTTAACAAAATCTCACCTCCCAATAAAGTAGTTACCTACTTTCAAACTAACCCTATGTTTTTATATTTACTGCTATTAAACACCTTATAATGAATATAAAGTTATTATCAATAGGAGCATTGTTTAAAAAAGGCAATGATTATATCTTAAAAGACTAAAAATGTCTTACATTTTTTAAAGAAGGGAGTACAATTTAACCATAAAATATATTAAATGAAAACTCACTATGTTATTTTATATATTCATTACAATAATACAACATAATTAATGTCTTAAAATATTAAATATTGAATTAAACAAAAAATAAAAATTTATGATGATAATATTTAGTTACTATTAATTATTATAAAAGTCAAACTTTGAGTGGCTTCTCTAAAGTTGGGTTGAAAGTCTCACTTATTGTGGCAACTTTAAAAAGTTGCCGCTATTTGTGAATTTTCTACTGAAACATAGACCTTCAGCAGCAACATGCACGTGCGCTACTGCAAAGACATAAATTAGCAAGGGAATTTAGTAAGAGATTATTTATTCTTTTCTAAAATACCAAATTAGCTAGAGGTATTGATTTCATAGTTTGACTTAAAATTAGTGAGAAAAATAGTGAGGAACTGTCAATTTCTCTCTGAAATAAAATAATTAGTGAGGAAAATAAGGAGAGACTACCAATCTCTCTCTAAAATAAGAGAATTAGTAAAAAAAAATAGTAAAGAACTGTCAATCCCTCTCTAAAATAAGATAATTAGTGAGGAATTTTATCCCCAACTAATTGTTGTAAAAAAAATTTAACTTTTGATAATGACTTTTAATGATATATTTAATTATTTTCATTTGAAAATAAATATTAAATTTTAAAATTAATTAAAATATTCATAATAAAATTATATAATATTTAATATTTTATTTAT